TCCAACCTTAACAATTCCATGATTCCATGATCTTGTTGCATGTTCTTGCAATGTCTTGTCTGCATCTGTCTCAGCTGCTCCAGCTGGAAAAACAAGGCTGAGACCTCTGGGAGGTGGAAGGGATTCCACCCATGGAAGGTAAGTGGGATAACATCCATGGAAGCTGAACTGGAGTGGTTTCATCCATTCACCAGTGATGCAAAGTTTGGAGATGCCTGGGATAAAAGATTGATGGAGCACACGATCCAGAGGCAGGGACAGGAGGAGAGGGGATGCTGCTCCATGTAAATCCACACTGGGCAGAACTGGGAACAGCTCCCATCAGGGACTGGTTTGGAACCAATCCCTATTGACAGCCTGGATGTGTTATCCAGCCTGAAGGGATGGAATTCTCTTGGCTGCTCTGAAATATGCCGTGGCCAGATCAAAGGCAACTCCTGGGCAGCTTTTGGGGTGAAAATGGATGGAATTAGCTCTTTTCCAGAGGGGAAGGTGGGAACAGAGCAGCCAGACACAGCTGGAGTTTGTGGAACACCAGGACAGTCCTACAGTGAATGCAGATTCCCTGTTACATCCCAACCAGGATGACTTCCCTCAGGGACTGTTCCTGTAGGAAAATCAAGGAGAGAGAGAGAGAAATGAAGGAATTTGGTACAAATCTGGCCTGAGTAGCAAGGAAAGCTTCAACATCCCAGTGGAAATCAGGATAAGGAGCCTGTGGAGTCATCTCCCCTTGGCATTCCTCGGGCTGGAGCTGTGAACTGGATCTGGATGCAGTTTGTCTCCTCATTCCCATAAATGGAATACTGAACATCCACGTTCGAGGGTTATATCATCTCCTGCTTCCAGGAGCTGAGTGCAGGGACTGGGAGAGAAGTGCTGAAAAGCTGCTGATCCAGGGCCAGGACACTCAGGGTTATCCCAGTCTGTGGAATGGTTGGGACATGAACTGGGTGATGAGTTTCCCCTTCCTGAAGTTGCTCAGGACCTTCAGGTTCCTCAGGAAATCCTACACAAATTCCAAGGTACCAGAGCTGTCTGTGGGTTTGGATGTATCCAGAGCTTGGGGTTCAGTGGGAGCCTCTAAGGGACAGATAAATCAGAGTTTAGGGATTGTTTAAGGAGTGAACATGGAATCCAGAGTGAGCTGGAAGGACACAGGGACCAGGTGTGGCCTTTCCTCTGTGGAAGCAAAACATTACAGGATGTTCAATATTCAAATTTTATGGAATGGTTTGGGCTGGAAGGACCTTAAAGCTCATCCATCCCCCTCCCTGCCATGGGCAGGGACAACTTCCAGTAGCCCAAGTTGCTCTAAACCTCATCCAACCTGGCCTGGAACACTCCCAGGGTTGAGGCAGCCACAGCTTCTCCACAGATGGAGAGATTGTGGAATCATGGATGGTTTGGTTTAGAAAGACCTTCAATCTCATCCAGTCCCACCCCCTGCCATGGGACAACTCCCACTAGCCCAAGTTTCTCCAAGCCCTTTCCAACCTGGCCTGAAACACTCCCAGGGATGGAGCAGGCACAGCTTATTCATAGATGGATATGAAGAGGTTATGGAATTATGGATGGTTTGGGCTGGAAGGACCTTCAATCTCATCCATTCCCACCCCTGCCATGGACATGGACATGTTCCACCAGCCCAGGTTGCTCCAAGCTTCATCCAACCTGGCCTGGAACACTCCCAGGGCTGGAGCAGCCCCAGTAATATCCTCCACCATCATCACTTGAGCTCCATTTCATCCTTTCCCTCACCCACAACTCCTATTCTTATTATCCTGCTCCTCTCCTGAGCATCACTTCCTCCAATGAGGAAAAAAATACATCATACTAAGTGGCCAAACCCCAGCCTTAACTGTGACAGAGAACTAACCTCTCCTTTTGCTGCCTGCAGAAGAGCTGAGGCCGAGTCAGTCTGCTGAGAGCAATTCAGTTTGCTCAGTGACCACAAGCTTGTTATTTCTGTCCCTCTCTCCTCCTCTCTCTTGCATGTCATTTGCATTGTTTCAAGTCCAAACAAGATCACCTCAACTTGCAGCCACAGGAGTTCTCGGCGCAGACACCAACGCTGCAATCACAGCTCTGCATGTTATTTTGTCAGTGTGCAGGAAGCAGAAGAGAAAGCAGCTTACTCTTCTCAAAGGGCTTTGGCCCAGCAGTGCTGACAGCAGGGAAACACAGGCAGGTTACAGCTAGGGCTGAATTCCACTCCAGCCCCAGGGATACCAACCAGGGGATGCTGTACAACAGCTCTGCAGCTCCACTGCACTGCAGATTCCATGGTCACTCCTTTTTCTAGGGGTGTTTTTTTTTGTTTTTCCCTGGCCTGGCTCATCCTGGGTGGCCTCAGCAGCATTTGCACAAAGCTGTTCCTTCTCCCCTCAGTTTGCAGGTGTTTAGTGCAGATTTGCTCATTCACAATGAAGTTTTAGCTTTCAAATCTTGTCCTGGTTAGTTCTCTAGTGTTCGAGTCTTGTTCCCTTTCCTTTACCATCCAAATCCTGTCCTGGTCAGTCCTTTAGTGCTTGATTAATTTCTCCATCATCCAAATCCTGTCCTGGTCAGTTCTCTAGTGTTTGAGTCTTGTTCCCCTTTCCTTTCCTACCCAAATCCTGTCCTGGTCAGTTCTCTAGTGCTTGACTATTGTTCCCCTTCACCATCTAAATCCTCTTCTGGTCAGTCCTTTAGTGCTTGACTATTGTTCCTGGTCAGTCCTTTAGTGCTTGACTAATTTCCCCTTTTCCTTTACCTTCCAAATCCTCTCCTGGTCAGTTCACAGAATCACAGAACACACAGAGTTGGAAGAGATCCACAAGGATCATCTAATCCAACTCCTGTCTGGACAGGACATCTCTGAGAGTCACACCATGTGCCTCAGAGTGTTGGTTCCTTAGTTCTTTAGAGCTTGACTGTCTTTCCCCTGTCCTTTCTCTTCCAAATCCTGTCCTGGTCAGTCCTTTAGTGATTAACTGTCTTTCCCCTTTCCTGTACCTTCTAAATCCTCTCCAGGTTCAATCCATTAGTGCTTGACTATTGTTCCCCTTTACCTCCCAAATCCTATTCTGGTCAGTTCATTAATTCTTGACTATTGTTCCCCCTTTCCTTTACCTCTCAAATCCTGTCCTGGTCAGTCCTTTAGTGCTTGACTATTGTTCCTGGTCAGTCCTTTAGTGCCTGACTAAGATCTTTACTGAGATGACAACAGATCTACTCACATTCTGTGCTCCCTCAGCTGCCCTAGGACCTCACACTGAATCCTTGGGGAATTCCTTGGAGCTGTTCATGACACCTTGGACACTTCTCTCTTCTTTTCCCTCACAGGTTTTAGGCCCTTTTCAAGGCTCCAGATCCTTCAAAAGCTCCAAAGAGAAGACAAGATGAGGACATGACTTTCACATTGACATTTTTATTAACGCCAACTTCTTTTAAATCCTTTTTTTTGTTTGTTTGTTTGTTTTTGTACTCTTTTCTTTTTTAAACAATAGCACAAAAATGTTTCAGGGAAGCAGTCTGACAGTTAGTCTGATGACCTTCTGAAATACAGTTAAGCCACACCAAATACGAATTCCTGTTAAAAAGAAAACGAAGGGGGAGGGAAAAGAAAAAGATGGAACTCCAACCTTTGGATTATTGATTAGAGGGTTGTGGCTGGTTAGTAGACCACTCTGCTTTGTGAGGGGAATGATGGCACACAGCTTGGACTTCATCATCACACCAGTCAGCACTAATTTTAAGGCTTCTGAATCAAATTACCATCAACATCACAGAAAGGGACGAAAAGCTACGGCCAGGAGGAGATGGAAGGAGCTGGAGCCTCCAGACAAGGAGCTGTGGCTGGAGCAGGACAGCCCAGAGCCCAGCAGATATCTCCTCTGCATGCACTGGGAGGGGCAATGAGAAATCAAACTCCATGGCATGAACCTTTCTCTTATTTAATGTGGCTGTGAAAGGTGTTTTCCTTACAATCCTGTTCTCTCTAAGAAGGACATCAGCGAGTGGAACTGAGGAGGGAAAAACCCAAGAGCAACAGAACATTTTTTTTTGTTGGTTTTTTTTTTTTGTTTGCTGAGAGGTAACACAAAAGGGTAAGAGGGAACCTACTATCCTTGGATTTGGGAGGGGTTGCAGGAACATCTCCCCAAAAGTTTGCACTGAGGAGGATGCACAGACTCTATGTTATACCACTACCTGCCTTTCCCAGTGACCTGTTCCACACAAAGCTGAGGCAGGAACCCATTCTTGCCCCAGACTCTCCACTGACCTAGAAACCACTGGTTTCCTTTTTGATTTGGGGGGGGAGGAGGAGGAGGAGGAGGAGGAGGGAGGGTGTAAAAAACAGAACATCTGTCAATAAGAGTGTCAGGAAGGGGGTGTTAAATATTTTAACCACTGACAAGGCTTGAGGAAGTTTCACAGTTTTGTTATGCTCTATTTTATTACTATCATATTTACAGATTTTTTCTCTCTTTGGCTTTTTTTTTTTTTTTTTTTTGTTGTGTATCTTTTTTCTCGTTTTGTTTCGCTTCGCTTTCTTTGAATTGCTGAGAATTTGAATAGAATTTTTTTTTCAACCTGGAGTGTGAGCAGGAACCAGTTAAAACTACATTCATGGTCCAATCCCCCCTGTTGGTTTGAGAGAGAAAAAGAGAGAGAGAAAAACAAAAAAAACAAAAAAAAAAAAAAAAGACTCCAAATTCTTGGCATATTGAATCAGCTGTTGGGGGGGTGGTGGTGGTGGTTGCTGAGAATTTGAATAGAATTTTTTTTTCAACCTGGAGTGTGAGCAGGAACCAGTTAAAACTACATTCATGGTCCAATCCCCCCTGTTGGTTTGAGAGAGAAAAAGAGAGAGAGAAAAACAAAAAAAACAAAAAAAAAAAAAAAAGACTCCAAATTCTTGGCATATTGAATCAGCTGTTGGGGGGGTGGTGGTGGTGGCTCCTCCCTGTCCCCGTGGGGTGCAGCAGGACCTCAGTGGTGGCATGTGGGGGGGCTCACACCGTGGCTGGGGGGACCTTGCGCTGCACCAGGTAGTGGTGGATGTTGTCGGCGTCGCGTTTGAGCCAAGCGGCGTTGAGCAGGATG